AGGTGGATCCTTTCGGTGAGGCTTATGTTGTTTAATGGTAACATTAGGCTTAGCTGGCTTTTGTATCTGTTCTAACAAATAATATTCCTTACTGTAAGTTGTAACAAAATACTACTACATAGGTATTACTGTCAGGAAATGTATTTATTCTGTACATTTTCTAGAGTCACACTACTTTTGTGCCCCCCCCCCCGATAGTTTAGTGGTAAGTCTGCAGGATTACGACGCCAAAAATCGGGGCAATAATAGCACGATAGCTAACATTATACGAAAAGTCCATGACATAAACACATTAATAACACAACTTACACAACACCATGACATTACATTTATATTCAATGATACAAACAGACTGTTAACTTGACAAATGTGTTTATATATATATATAATGCAGAGTCACGTGCGCTTTTCAGGCATACATTAGGTTAGTCATCCCTTGAATGAGTGGAATAATCCAATAATTTAACTTCTATGAACTTACAAAATTATAAACATAAATGTTCAAACTGTATCTTCTTTCCCGTGATTGTTTACATTCAAGTACAGATAGCTTATTTAAGGAGCTTTGCAACCAATCATTACTTTCTGTTGTCTTTAGTCACTACAAATACAACTAGAATATCATGAAACTTAGCGCTATGCTACTGTTACGTATCTGCTTGTTTGTTAATTTCCTGTAGAAATTCTTTCCGAGAAATTTCAGCGATACAAGTCCTTTCTTAATTAAACTAGTTTATTTTTTCTCGATACAACTTTTCAATACACAGAATTTCCACAGTCACGTTAACTTAACTACTTTTATAAACACACGTTATAAATCACAGTGATTCACACACTTTACTTACGGTGCCTATTGTTCGCTTGATTCAATTATCTCTATCTTCAATCTATCTGCGTATGCCCTTATATATACTAAAAAAGAGGGCGTCTAGCAAATACTGGGATATTCGTGAGATTTCCCGATAAGTCATGATCCTTCTAGAAACTCCAGCGCACATGCTCCCTGCGTCGCGTGACTTCCGCTGTCGTAACACTATTTAACGATTCCAGAATTACAGCTTGATCACTTTTATCCAAATTTCAAATAACTGGATATGTCGAAGAACTAAAATGATTCAGTTATATTATATTTACCGCCTTTCGAAGCGTAATAATAATAATAATAAAAGTGAAATCCTTCGGGATGTTAAAAATCCCCGAATTCAATAAAATACATTAATTAAGTGTTACAACTCGTGTACCGGTTATTCAGGTTATCTTATAATTTTATCACCTGTATTTGTTTATAAAAAATCATTTTCTTAAGCTTATTTCTAACAAATAAAGATACACCCCAAACAGTGTAATAACTAAAGTATGATTTTTTGGTATTTTTAATAATTAAATGTAGTTTTTCGACAGGCAAGTCGGAACGTACAAAACATTGGAGGATGGGGGAGAACAATCGTAAATTAAATTAAAAAAAACTGTCTGAAAATCAATAAAAACGCTTTAAAATAGATTGTTCAATAATTTCACACAACAACAAGTACTGTACATACAAAAACACAACAACAAGTACTGTACATACAAAACAGAACAACAAGTACTGTACATACAAAAACACAACAACAAGTACTGCACTGTACATACAAAAACACAACAACATGTACTGTACTGTACATACAAAAACACAACAAATACTGTACTGTACTGTACATACAAAAGCACAACAACAAGTACTGTACATACAAAAACACAACAACAAGTACTGTACTGTACATACAAAAACACAACAACATGTACTGTACTGTACATACAAAAACACAACAACAAGTACTGTACATACAAAAACACAACAACAAGTACTGTACTGTACATACAAAAACACAACAACATGTACTGTACTGTACATACAAAAACACAACAACAAGT